ATTGTTGGGCTTTGAGGCAAGTGCCTATACCCACTGAACCACCCCACAAGCCTCATATATGTTTTGTAGAATATATCCTTTATTCAAATCTAAAGAAAGTTATTATTTCTGAGGGGGGTGGTTGAGACAAGGTCTCACTATGTAGGCCAGCCTCAAACTCACAGAGATTCACTTGCCTCTGCCTCTTGAGTGCTGGAATAAAGGTTTGTACCACCATGCCCAGATTAATTTATTTATTTTCTTATTTATTAAGTAATTTATTTTATGTGTACATGTGCCCAGTGCCCTCAGAGGCCAGAAGTGGGCATCAGACCCCTGTAACTGGAATTAATATTTATGAGCTGCCTTGTGGGTGCTAGAAATCAAATCTGGGTCCTCTGTGAGAGCAACCAGTGCTCTTAAAAAGTTCTCCTGTGGAATAGGAATGTATATTCATTATATGTGATTTTACAACTGATAGAAGGAAGGTATTGTATACTCACACTATACAGGTAAGGAAATTGAGAAGCTGACCTCCGTATGGCCACATAAACAGTGGTGAGTGATATATTTAGAACTTGGGTTTTTTGTGCTCAACAGCCCTTATTTATATTCTGTGTAACTTGGTGGTCTTCCCGACCTATTTTTTGAGAGAATCTTACGGAATTCAGGCTAGTGTCAACCTTGCTGTATAGCAGAAGATGGCCTTATTAAACTCCTGATATTCCTACATTTATCCCCCAGCTGCCAAGATTTCAAGTATTGCCATGCCTGGCTCTTGTGCTTAACACATTTCTTGAAGATTTAAAAAAAAAAAGTTGGCTGGAGACACAAATAAAATGCAATAAAATGACCCCCCCCCAAAAAAAAAGAAAGAAAAATTGCCCTTTTTTTAGTTTGGAAAAGCAGCTACTTTTTATTTTATTTTAAAGGAGGATCATTTGAGTCCAGCAATTTGACAATTTGAGAACAACCTTTATAAGATAGCAAGACTGTCAAGAGAGGGCAGAGTGGGAAACTGAAGGAATGTCATTTCTATGATAACAAGACTGCCTTTTGTCTTTCCCTTACATCGGTGCTCTTTGGCTCATTCTAAAGAAGCTAGCTAGCTAGCTAGCTAGCGTGTTTAAGAGGCTGACGGAAAGACCTATATGGCAGACAACCAAAGAAGGCCTTTAGCCAACAGCTCATGAGGAACTGAGGCCTCAGTCCAATAACACATACAGAATTGAACCCCAGCAACAACCATGAGAGTGAGCTAGGAAGTGAATCTTTCCCAGTCAAGGCTTGAGATAATTTTAGGCTATTGGGCCCTGTCAAAGACTCCATCAAGTCATACCCAGATTGCCAAACTAAGGAAATTGATATCATAAATATTTCAAACTATTAAAGTTTTGTGGTGGTATGAACACAGAAGTAGATAGCTGGCACAAAATCAGTTCCCTTTCTAAATGAATTTGCTTTAATTTTAATTTTTCTGGCATAATTTATAATATGGTAAATATTAGGTATAGCCCACAGCAACAAAAGTTTCTTGGAATTCTCATCACCTACTGCCTCTTCCTCCCTAGTGCTGGGATTACAGGTATGCTACAGAATGTCTGATTCTTTGTGTTATTTACACCGATGTAGTCATCCAGTACTGGAAGTTTGCCTTATTTATTTGTTTTTCCTATTTGATTAACCTTAGAGAGCTAGTATGGAATCTACCTAATTTTTTTGGCAAAGTTTGTTCAAATTATTTTGGAGACTTACTGGGTTTTTTTCAAAAAGGGAATTCAAAGTAATTTTGCATGTGAGACAGAGTGAGTGACTCTGTGTGTGTGTGTTTGTGTGTGTGCGCCACAGTACACATATGGAAGTCAGAGGACAACTTAGAAGACTTGGTTCTCCCACCACGTGTGTTCCAGGGACCATCAGACTCAGGTTGTTAGACTTGGCAACAAGTGCCTTTACCTATGGTGCTATGTCACTGATCCTCAAATCTTAGTTTTGAAGAGTGACGTTTTTTTGTTTTGTATGGATTGTCATTATTTTTTTTAGCCAGTTTTTAGATTGTTTCCATATTTTCAGTGTACAAAACAGTGGTTTGGTTAATAACCTTTTGTATTCAAGTGAGAATGCCTGGATAGTAAATCAAGCAGAATTGCTAGGTGAAAGTGAATATGTATTCAGATGTTGATACAAACCTTAGAACTATGATTGACCTATTTAGGCACATTGGGGTTTCTTGTGTTGTTTTATTTTTTAATCTTTAAAATTTGGTAGGTAACAGCTGGGTGAGTGCCAACACCTTTAATCCCACAGGCAAGCAGACCTCTGAGTTTGAGACCATCCTGCTCTATAGAACATGTCCAGGATAGCCTGGGCTACACAGAGAAACCCTGACTTGAAAAACAAATATTGGTAGGTAAAAGATGATGCATTTTTTTTTCTTTTTTGGGGGTGTGTTTTGAGATAGGGTTTCGGTTTCTCTGTGTAGCTCTGACTGTCCTAGAATTCACTTTGTAGACCAAGCTGGTCTTATACTCACAGAGATCCACCTGCCTCGGCCTAAATATGTGTACCACCACTGTCCCACTGTTTAGAATTTAAATGGGAAAAAAGAATATGTTGTTATATATGCATGTGGGAATGTGGATGCATGTGTAGTGATCAGAGGAGAATTTTTGGGAATTGGTTCTCTTCCTACCATGGGTTCTAGGAATGGAACTCAGGTTTTTAGGCAGCAAGTACTTTTAGCCATTGATAGATCTTGCAGGCCCATTGATTGGCACTTTAAAATTTTCTCTATTTTTGTATATTTGTGTGTGCGCCTCTGTGAGTTTGTGTGCCATGTGGTTGTAGGAACTCTTGGAGGCCAGTAGAAGACATCTGGAACTGGAAAAGGCAATTGTGAGCCGCCGTGTGTGTACTAGGAACCTCACCCATGTCTTCTGCAAGAACAGCAAGTACTTGGAACCATTGAGCCATCTCTACAGTCCAACTAACATTTATATTCATATTTCTTTTATTATGAGTGAGGTTAAAAATATTTTCTCTATTGAGTATCTTCAGTTCTTTAATTATGATATATCTATTCACAAACCCTTGAAAATTAGGGCTTCCTGTGGCTTTTGAGTTAGTTTGAATTTTTCAGTTACCATTTAGTGACTTGATTCTACTCACACACCCCCACACACCCCTGTTGTTTGTGGTTTTCACTTTTCATGTTTCAGTTTTGGTTTACCTGCAGGTGTGAAAGTACCACTTTGCCTCCATTCCCCCATCCCACTCCCTCCCAATATGGTTTAGGATATGTCACAAATCGTTTGTTTTCTTTACCAATTTGAAGTGACACCATTTTTAATGTTCGTGTGGTCTATATGTGAAAATAGTGTTATATAATTAGAAATTCTCAGATAAGTATTTCATGACTGAAACAGAAATTGTCACCTGTCATGAGTTTATATTTTGAGACATGAACTTTTTTTTTAAACAGATTTGAAAAGACATGAAAAACTTTTTAATCACTGTTTTGTGTGTCCAGAAGAAGTTAACATCAGATAGATGTTGTCTGTGGTAACTCTCCAAACCTTATTTATGTATTTAGAGATATTTTCTCTCTTTGTAGCTCTGGCTGTCCTGGAATTCACTGTAGACCAGGCTGGCCTCAAACACCCAAGTGTTGGGATTAAAGGTGTGTGCTATTATAACTAGCCTGAATCTTATTTTTTTGAGACAGGGTCTCTTACTGAATCTGGAGCTCATCAATTTGACAAAACCACCTGGCTAGTGAGCTTTTAGAGATCTGCTATTCCCTATACCCCCTCACCTCTAATGCTGGGGTTACAGATGCATACCCCTGTTCTTGTTTTTATGTGAATGCTGGGGATCTGAACTTGGGTTTCATTTCATTTGGTTTTTTCGTCCCAACACAGAAAAACATGCCCCTGTTTAGGAAACATTGAGGCTGGGTGTGGTGGTGCATACATACCTGTAATCCCAGTACTCAGGAAGCAGAGGCTGGTTGATCTCTGAATTCAAGGCCCAATAGGGCAGCATAGTGAGACCCTGCTCCCCAAACGGAGACAATGAGTTGAATTATACACTTATTTTATTTTTGCTAGTATTTGGGTAGGTTTTTTTTTTCTTCTGGGGTATAGTGGTATGTTTGTTTGGCCTCTGAGGAAAACAGGTGTGTAGAGGGTGGTGGATTCCCTAAAACTGGAGTTACAGTGAGCCTTCATCTGGGTGCAGAGAATGGAACTTGGGACCTCTGGAAGAGCAGCCAGTGCTCTTAGCTGCTAAGCCATCTTTCCAACCATCTAATTTTTTTGAGACAAATGTCTCAGTATACAGTTCTGAATAGCTGGGAATTAACTCTGTAGTGTAGTCTGGGCTACTCAGACTCAAAGAGTTTGCTTCCTCAACCTCCCAAGTGCCGGGATTATAGGTATAAACTACTATATCTAGGTGTTTTGTTTGTTTTAGCATTTATTAATTTCTTACGTGTTCATGTATGTAAGTGAGCATATGCCATGGCATACAAATGGAGGTCAGAAAACAACTTGGGAAAATTGGTTCTTCTACCTTGTGGATTCTGGAAATTAAACTCTGGTTGTCACTTAGTGGCAAGCGTCTTTACCTGATCTTACCAGCCTTTCCCTGGTATTTTGAAATAGGATCTTGCTATATAATATGTAGACCTGATTGACCTCAAACTTGTTACAGTTGGCCTGCCTAAGCCTCATAAGTGGTTAATTATAGATATATACTATAATGTTGTGCAAAAATAATAACCATTTAAAATATGTCTCCTTTCACCATTTTATTGTGTGTATATATATATATATGTATATATATATGTATATATATATATACATGAGCACACATATAGTGCATGCCGAGTGGTGGTGGTGCATGCTTTTAATCCCAGCACTCAGGAGGCAGAGGTAGGTGGATCTCTCTGAGTTAGAGGCCGACCTAGTATACAGAACAAGTTCCAGGACAGCCAGAGCTACACAGAGAAACCCCGTCTCAAAAAATATGTGTGTGTGTGCGCGTGCGTGCACATGTGTGTACATACATGTACTGTTTTTTGGATTTTTAAATTTTGGTATTAGAATTTGAACCTAGGTCCTGGCACACGCTAAGCAAGTGCTCTACCACCAAGCTGTTTCATACCTGCTGTTTGATTTTTTTTTAAAGATTATTATTGTTGCTTTTTGTTTTTTTAGAGTCAGGGACTCTTTGTATAGCCATGCTAGACGATGTTGATCCTTTTAATCCTTCTGCCTTGGCCTCGCAAGTACTGAGATTACAAATGTGTGCCACCATGACCAATTTCTCCTTATTTATAAGTAGACTGTGGTAGGATGGCTAGGACACAGTACAAAGATGTTTGTATAGAAGATAATTATAAAGCAGTCAGTTGCTTAGGTTACCAGCATGGTTTAAGAAACTTAACTTACTAGGGTTCAAATCTTCGCCCTGCAATATACAGTGACCTTTGATCATACACTTTGCCATGCCACAATTTGTTTATCTGTGCAAGAAAGTGATAAAACTTTCATCATGACCTTGTGTAGATGAAGTTAGTTAATAATAGGAAGTGCTTATTATGGTCCCTGGCTATAGTAGTCACTGTGTTAGCTGCTGCAGATATTGTTCATAGAAAAGATGTGTGAAAGAAAATATACCTAGAATGCTTATGAAACAGTAATAAAGCAAGTTTCTTTTTTGTTTTATTTTAAAGATAGGAGGATCTTTGTACCCAACATTGACATTGAAATTCTGATTATCCTGCCTTCATCTTCCAAGAGTTGAGTTGTAGGCATGCACTGCACCATCATGCCAGGTTTAAAATGCTGCTGAGAACTGAAACCAGGGCTTTATACAAATTTAGCTACATCCCAGCTTCCAGAGTAAGAAATTTTATTGACTACATTATGCAGAATACACTTGAAGAAACAAGGACTGGAAAGCCATTCACATATTGGCCTAAAAATTTGCTTTATATTTAATTAATGGTCCAGTATAGAGCTTGGCATACACTGTTAAAAATGGAGAGTATAAAAATGGACTCTGTTTTAGTGATATTTGTTGACTTCAACCTTAGCTGGAACTAGGCTTATTTAAAACCAGAAAGTTTTTATCGAGCCAAAGTAAGCCTTTCATTAGCAAATATGAAAAATTCTATAATATTACTGCATCAAAAGTAATTAATAGAAGGGAGAAGTAATCTTGCCTTGTTTAAAGATAAACAATAATAACGGCACTTCCTTTGATATATGACAGAAATTCAGAGGTAGAAATAGCTACAAATATTGAAAAATTAGTGAGCAGTGGTGGCATCCACCTTTAATCCTAGCACTTGGGAAGCAGAGGCAGGTGGATCTTTGAATCTGAGGCCTGGTCTACAGGACAAGTTCCAGGACAAGACTACACAGAGAAACCCTGCCTCAAAAAAACTGAAAACAATTGAAAAATGGAATGTTTTAACTACATAGCGAAGGACAGTGTTTTAAGTTTTCTATTGCTGTGAAGAGACACCATAACCACGGCAACTTTTATAAATGAGAACATTTATTTGGGGTGGTTTGCTTACAGTTTCAGAGATTTAGTCCATTATCATCATGGTAGGGAGCAAGGTGGTGTACAGGGAGACATGATGCTGGAGTAGCTGAGAGTCCTATATCTTAGATGCAACAGGAAGTCGACTGAGACAGTGGGTGGTATCCTGAGCATAGGAAACCTCAAAACCACCCCTACAGTGACACACTTCCTCCAACAAGGCCTCCAACCCACTCCAGCAAAGTCACACCTAACAATAGTGCCACTTCCGGAGAGATTATGGGGGCCAATTACATTCAAATGACCACAGTCAGCATAAAATTAGAAGGAAAACATGAGATATGATGGTGCACTGTGTACCATCTTTATACTGAATGCCACTGGCAATTTTGAGTTGGGTGATTTTTTTTTGGCATTTAAAAAATTTCTTTTTTTATTATTGTGTTTGTGTATGTGTGCATGTGAATGTTTCATGGTGTGTGGGAGGTCAGAAGATAATTTTATGGAGTTCTTTTTCTACTTGTGCTTTTATGTGGGTTCAGAGATAGCATTCAGGTTGTGAGGCTTGTGCAACAAGCACTTTTTACTTTCTGAGCTATTTTTGCTGAGTCATTTTTGAACTTTCTTCAGTCATTTTATTTTATTTTATTTTATGTTTTGAGACAGGTCTCACCATGTCACCTGGGCTGGCCTGGGACTTGCTGTGTAGACCATGCTGGCCTCAAACTCCGTCTTGTCTTTGATTATAGGTGTGTGATACTACACACTGCTTTTCTTAAATCTTTAAATTGTCTTTTTCATATATGCTAAGTGTAACTATATACTATTAATTTGAAAACATTAATAACGTTTTGTGAGTTTTATATATATACACACATGTGCACATGTTTGCGTACATGCATGTGCTGAGGCAAGGGGCCAGTGTTGGGTGTCTTCATCAATCACTCAAGGTCCTATGATTCTTGTGTCTCTCCCTCTCCAAAGCTGAAATTACAGGCAAATTTTTTTAAGTAGGGGTGTGTGTGTGTGTGTGTGTGTGTGTGTGTGTGTGTGTGTGTATGTATGTGTGTATGTGTGTTATGTGTGTAGACCAGAGGACTGAGTTGTTCTTTTTTTCTTTTTGTTTTTCTTTTTCATGACAGGATTTCTCTGTATAGCCCTGACTGTCCTGGAACTCACTCTGTAGACCAGACTGGCCTCGAGCTCACAGAGATCCACCTGCCTCTGTGTGCCTCCCCCCAGAGTGCTGGGATTAAAGGTGACTGATAGATTCTATTGTTTCAGTCATCTGCCATCTACTCCTTTGAGATGGGGTTTCTTATTCAACCTGCAGTTAAAACTGGCGGCCAGCCAGCCCCAGTGATTCTCCCGTCTCCACTCCCACAGCTAGGGAATTACTGGTATGTCCATGCCTGGCTTTTTTACATGGCTGCTGGGTTTCTACTTTAGGTCCTCATGTTTTCAGCAAGACCTTTACCCACTGAGCTATCTCCCCCAACCTTTCAGTATAACTTAAATTTATGTATTAATTTAGTTTTCAAGGTTTTGAGATAAGGCCTTGCTCTGTAGACCAGACTAACCTGGACCCTGCTTTATAGACCTACGTGGCCTAGGATTTGTAGCAATGCTCCTGCCTTTGCTTTCTGTGTGCTGGGATTACAGATTTGTACCACTACATCAGACAGGAACATCTTAGAAATTTTTAAATTAGTTTTATTTATTTAAGTGTTTCTGTGTGTGGGCATAGAACATGTGTGGAGGTCAGAGGCCAACTCTTTCAGGACTCAGTCCTTTCCTTCTATATGGGACCTGAGGATTGAACTTTTGGGAGGCTTCTGATTAAGCCCCTTTCATGCTGGCCCATAAATAATTTTTCATTCAATCTCTTTGACATTTTGAAATAGGCAAAATTGTGCCTTTTCTCCAAATTGAGGCAATAAAAACATCAGAAATGAGTAAAAATGTTTACCAATTATATCTGATAAGGGATTTATATCTAGTTAAGGTAACAAGTAACTAGATTACAAAATGGACAAAACATATGAATAAATTTTTTTTCCAAAGAAGGTATACAAATGCCTAATAAGCAGAAGATAGATATCAAACATATTCAATCCTCAGAAAAGTGTAAACCCAAATCATAGTTGGTTATATTGCAGCATTCTTGATGTGGCACAATTAAAAAGACAGATCATGAGCCTTGGCAAGTATGTGGAGGCATTAGAAACCTTATTCATGGCTGGTGAATTCAAATGTTATAGTGGGCTTGGGGAAACAGTTCAGTTCCTCCAAAGGTTAAATGGGATGGCTATGGATCTAGCAGCTTTTCTGGTTATATACTCTGTTCACAAAAACATACATTAGTTTCTATAGTAGAATTGGTCATAATAGCAAAAAATTGGAAATAATTTAAATACTCATCAGTTAGCAAATTGATAAATAAAATGTGGTTTGTGTCTGCAGTGAAGTAGTATTCAATCATTAGGAGTGAATTACTAATAGGTACTGCAGCATGAAATACATGTTAAGTGAAAGAAGTCAGGAAGGGCCATAGACTTGGATTCCATTTGTAGAAAATGTCCAAAATAGACAAAAATACATAGAGAAAGTATATGGGGAGGGTAGATTAGTTACCTAGGCCTGGGGTTAGTGTGGAAGATGAAAGGCAGATAACTAAAAAGTACAAAGGATTTCTGTTATTGTTGCTGTTTGTTTGCTTTTGGTCTTTAAGAAAGCATCTCTTGTTGGACATGGTGATGTAGGCCTTTAATCCCAGTACTCAGGAGACAGAGGCAGGCAGATGTCTGAGTGCAAGGCCATTCTGGTCTACAGAGTGAATTCCAGAGCTGCTACATAGGGAAATCCTGTGTCAAAAAAAAAAGAAAGAAAGCATCTCTTATAGCCCAGGAGGGCTGATTCACAAACTCAGATTTCTGCTTCTTTCAATATTGTAGCTGCTTTTCATAGGAACTTATTTTTATCACTTTAGGAATAAATATTTGTTTTGTTCCTTATAACTCTTTAAGTAAGCTGAGCATGGTAGCACCCATCTTTAATCTGTGAGTTCAAGGCCAACCTGTTCTACATAGTAAGTTCCAGGACAGACTACGTAGTGAGACTCTGACTCAATAAAAGCAAAATAAATAAGTAGTATGTATGTAAATTGTAACTTGTATGTATTTTCTGTACCAGAGATTGAACCCTTGGTCTTAGGCATCCTACCATTGAACTATATCTCTAGCCCCTAAATTGCAGTGTGTGTGTGTGTGTGTGTGTGTGTATTTAGTTGTTGTTGTTTTTCAAAACAGGATTTTTCTGTAGCTTTGGAGCCTGTCTTAGAACTCACTTAGTAGATCAGGCTGGCCTTGAACTCAGAGATCTGCCTGCCTCTATCTCCTGAGTACTGAATTAAAGGCATACACCACACCACTGCCTGGCTAGTTTTAAAACTAGTATAGTATACAAAGCATTAGAAATCATTTTAAAAATTTTTGTCATTTATTTATTTATCAAGGCCAGGTCTTACCATGTAACTCATGTAAACCAGGCTTATTTTTGAACTCACAGCCGCAGTCTCCAGTGTGCTGGTATTAAAGGCAAGTACCACCACACCCAGCATCCTTGTGTAATTTTTAACAAACTTTGAAGTAATATTTTTCTGTATTCAGAGAGGTACACAAATTATGAATGCTTGGATTTAATAAATTTTTAGGAGGATATAGCATCCGGTGTTATCCCATCTTTATACCCAAATGCTCTAGAAAGCCCAACCAGTGCCTCGTTTCTAGTTCAATCTATTCACCTATCTTCTTTTTGTATGTAAATTTTTCCTTCATATATAAGTGTTCTGTGATGCCTTCCTCTTAATGCTAGGTCCGTGAAAGCCATGCTGTTGTATTTGCAATAGTTCATTCTCATTACTCAACAGTCTGAACATACTGCACTTGATCAATTCTGTTGAATCGATTTTGTTTTAGAGCTGTTCCAAGTAGTGCTGCTTTAAGCACATTTGGCCTTTCAGTGCACCTATGTAACACTTGGGTGAAATCCTAGTAGTGGAATTAAGTGGGTTAGAAGCTATCCATATTGCCAAAGAATTGCAGTGCCAACTTGTTCTCCAGAAAGCACAGTGTCACTGGCCTATAATTTCAGCACTTGGTACATGGTGTCTGGAGTTCAAAGTCATTTTTTGGAGATACTTTCAATTCTAGACTTGGACTACTCATGACCCTGTCTTAAAAAGATGCAAACAATCTCCCAAAAGCATTGATTTATATCAATTGTATAGTAATTTATTTATATCAATCCTAGATTATGAAAGATAAATATTCATTGCCTTGATATCTTTATTCCCTTCTACTTTGATTCTTCAATTATTTTAGCTCTTCAGTTGGATATGTTGCAGTTTGAAATATTTTATTTTAATTATGTATATAAATGTGTATATAGCTATATGCATGTGTGGACACTGTTCCTATAGGCTGGAGATGATGGATCCCTCTGAAGCTAGAGTTATAGACAGGTATGGGCTGCTGGGAACCAAACTCAGGTCCTTCAGAAGAAAAGTATACACTTTTAACCACTGAGCTATCTCTCCAGCCCTAGTATGTCACAATTGGAAACAGGTGGTTTAGTGGGTTAAGGCAATGGCCACTAAACCTGAAAACAAAAGTTCAATCCCTGGGACCCACAAGGTAGAAGGAGAGAGCCAACTCCTCTGACAACTTGACATATGTATTATGGCATGCTCACATGCATGCACACACAAGAATAAATAAGTGTACTAAAAGACTTAAAAATCAGATTCCTGCTCTATCATTAGTTGTTTTTATCATCTTTGCTCAGGCTCAAAATTTTCCTACCTGAGTTTTCTAAGTGTCTGACTCCCATTAATTGTGTTTTGTTTTGAGCCAGGGTTTTACTTTGTAGCTTGGACTGGCCCAGAACTCATTATACATTTCAGGCTGGTCATGAATTTTCTTCAGTCCTCCTGTTTTAACCTTTTATTTGTTTTTACCTTTTTTTCATTTAAACAAATTTTATATCCAATATATTTTGTCTATGTTTTTTTCCTTCCCTCAAATTCTTCCCAGGTCTGCTGTCTGCTGTAACATTTTAAGTGTTGGGGTTATAGGTGTGAACTACCAAGCTAAGCAGCCATAATTTGAAAAGCGTATTGTTGGTTTTGTTATAGTTGTTTTCTTTTTTTGCTGCTGGTTCTTAAACCCAGGGCCATACACATGTTAGGCAATCAGTCATCCTTCCACTGAGCCGCAACCCTAATTCCATTAATTTTTCTTTTTTTTTTTTTAAAGATTTTTATTTTATATGTTCACTTTTTTATTTATTATGTATACAATATTCTTGCCTGTGTGTCTGCCTGCAGGCCAGAAGAGGGCATCAGATCTCATTTCAGATGGTTGTGAGCCACCATGTGGTTGCTGGGAATTGAACTCAGGACCTTTGGAAGAGCAGGCAGTGCTCTTAACCGCTGAGCCATCTCTCCAGCTCCCCGTTAATTTTTCAAAGTATCTTTTCTCTTCTTGTAAGAGAACTGTATTAAATATCTTGTATCTCAATTGTTTTCAGATAGGAAAAAACCCTCTTTTCAACCAGAAGGGAAATGTAGAGTTTACAGTTGTGATATATTATGTGACCAAATAATATTAACAAATAGGATACAGAGAAGACAAGTAAATAGGGTTAGCCAGGTGTGGTGATTACCTGTAATCACAAAATTCAGGAGGCCAGGAGGCAGAAGAATATCAAGTTCTAGGCCAACCTGAGCTATGTATAGCAAGACCCTGCCATGAACAAAAATATTACGAAATAGAATGAGGTAAAAAATAATGATTCAAGGGAGAAGAAAACCATAATAAATGCTTTTCTGGTTTGTTTTTGTATGCATACCTTCTATATTAGTGATAGGGAGAGCCATTTAACATAGCAGTCTCAATTTCTATGGTATAACATGAGAGAAGTTTATTACTTACTCACCCAATAGTCTAATTTGTGTTTTCTTTGCAGGTGGAGTATCTTTCCTGTATATATATATGGAATTTGGGCCAGGCTGCTTTTGTCATCTGGCCCTGCCATCTTATAGCACCTTGGTGACCTCTGTATTCAAGCAGAGTGGGAAAGAGATGGAGATGGAGGACAAAGAACATATCCCTCTGTGGATAAAAATCTGGTTGCTGAAATGACAGTCATAGCCTCAGCTACCTTCTGAGAATAAAAATCTTGTTGCTGACGCGACAGTCACAGCCTTGACTAAAGTGGAAGTCTCACTTAGCTGTTAAGGGGCTGGGAAATGGAGTGTGTTTCTATGGGTGCTGGCACTTGTCCCTTGGTGCCTACCACTGGGTACTTTGGGAGTTAGTTTTTGGTGGATAGCCACCTAGCTAGCTAGCTGCACTGTCATCTTTTAAGATAATAGGATAGATAACGTTCATCAACTTGGGACAATTTACTGTTTAAAAGATAGTAATTATTTTAAATGGTGAATTTTTATAGGGAAATAAGTTTAAATTTATTACTAACTGGCATTTTTGCCTCCTTTGGTAGCATATAGTTATGCTTTGTTTTAGCTTTATCTTTTGGAAGTGCTCTGGATAAGACCCAGGGGCTCTTGAAGCAAAGCGCTGCTACTGCAGAGCTATACCCCATCTCTGCTTTAACTTTAATAACCTTATGTTTAACAGTTTAGATCATGTCTCAGTGAAGCTTAAAAGCTACCTCATTTACATCAAATTCACAAGTCACTAAGTAAAAAAGCTGTCAAGCTATGGCATGCCATTGGTTATAGATATTGATTACATTTAATTTAACTATCTTTTCTCCCCTTCCCTCTAGTTTGAGATTGGTACAATGGAAGAAGCTGGAATTTGTGGGTTAGGAGTGAAAGCAGACGTGTTGTGTAACTCTCAAGCAAATGATATTCTTCAACATGAAGACCCCAGTTGTGGTGGCACAACTAAGACACATTCGCTGGAAGGAGATGAAGGCAGTGACTTTATAACAAAGAACAGGAATTTAGTGAGCTCAGCATTCTGTGCACAGGAATCAAGAGAAGAAATTCCTGGACGAGAAGCTCGACCAGGTCCTCCTGACGGCCAGCAAGATTCAGAGTGCAGCAGAAACAAAGAGAAGACCTTAGGTAATAAACTCTAGTCAGTAGTTCAATGTTGTTTTCATCTAGTTCTCATTTTATTCACATTGTGTGTGAGACAGGTAACCTGTTGTGGGCCAGTGAAATGTCTCAGTGGGTAAAAGTACTTGCTGCTAATCCTGGGAACCTGAGTCTGATCCCTGGGACCCACTTTGTCGAAGGAGAGCACGACTGCTACACATTTCTTCTGCACTCTCTCTCCCCTTCTCTCCCTCTACACACACACACACACACACACAGTCCATCAATTTAAAATAAATACCTGTTGCCTCAGGTGAGTCAGCTTGTCTGCTGCAGCTATGTACAGGGGGTGGAAAGAACAATAGGAAGCTTAGTTCTCTATATAATCAAGAACTCTAAAAACATTTTGAGGACAGAATGGCTATTGACTTGCCTTATTTGCATCTTTACTAGGCTGATCAAAGATTGGACATAAAATTTTATAGCTAGTATGTTAACTGTACTGCAGAAAATGAGTTTACCATGTTTCAAAACTTTTTTCTTCTATATAGCTTGTATTTCAGATCAAGAATGTGATGTGCTTAATTTTTATATCTTTATTTTATTTTTTTGAGACAAGGTCTTATATAGTTCAGGGTGACTTCAAAATTCTTTTTGCTTTTTTTTCTCCCAACACAGGGTTTCTATGTGTAGCCCTGGCCATCCTGGAGCTCACTCTGTAGACCAGGCTGGCCTCGAACATTGAGATCCACCTGCCTCTGCCCCCTTTGTGCTGGGATTAAAGGTACACACTACCACCACCTTGCCAACCTCAAACTTCTTGTGTAACTGAGGCTGGCCTTTAACTTCTGATCCTCTTGACTTAGCTCCCAAGTGCATCAAGGCATGGATACCTGGCCATACCATTAAATTGTGTGTTGTAAGTTGTGTCATTCTCCCTCACAGCAAGGATTGAACCTGTGGCCTCATGCATGCTAGGCGAGGACTCTACCACTGTGCTAGATCACCCTTTTGTGATATGCTGAATCTCATGAAGAAAATTGAAATCTCCTTTGAGTCTCACCCCTCAGCCTTTCTTTCTTTCTTTCTTTCTATCTATCTATCTATCTATCTATCTATCTATCTATTTATTGTTTTGTGTTTTATTTTGAGACAGGGTCTTACTATGTAGCCCTGCCTGGCCTGGAACTTGCTACGTAGACCAGGTTGGCCTCAAACTTAAAGATAACTACCTCTGTCTCCCAATTGATAAATGCTGCAATTAAAAGTTTACCACTATAACTGGAAACCCCTCAAGTTTTTATACTTTACATCTTTGATTGATAATTTGTGGGGGGTTTTTTTGCAATTGTAAAGTCTTATAATTCTGCTAAATTATTTAATCAAAGTGGCAATGACAATTTTAATAGGTGTGTCAAATTGACCATGCTGAAAATATAACTGCTATGCTAAACACAACTCATCAAAATCTCTACATACATACTTTGAAAATTACCAAATTTTATTTGGTGAACATTCAAGTAACCAAAATGGCATCAGGTCTAATTTTCAAAGGCTTGTTTTTTGTTTTGAGACAGGGTCTTACTATAGAACCCTGACTGACCTGAAATCACTATGTAGATTATGCTGGCCTTGAACTCATCTGGGATTAAAGGTGTTTGCCGCCTTTATGTCAAAATTACTTTTCTTTTTGGAAGGGGTTTTCTTTTTCCTTTTGTTCTTTTGAGACAAGGTCTCATATGTAGCCCAGGCTGGACTTTAACTCGGTGTGTAGTCAAAGATGACCTCCTAAACATTTTGACTTCACCTCCCAAGTTAGATTATCAGTGTGTACCACCATGGCTTGCTTGAGTTACCTTTCTTACTAACATAATCTCCTGCTACTCTTTAAAATGTAAAAAGTTGTCAGGCAGTAGTGGCACATGCCTTTAATCCCAGTACTTGGGATGTAGATCTCAGAGTTCGAGGCCAGTCTGGTCTACAGAGTGACTTCTAGGACAGGCTCCAAAGCTACACAGAGAAACCCTGTCTTGAAAAAAAAAAAAGTAAAACGTTAAGGAATGTGAAAAATATTTTTTGAGACAGTGTTTCTCTGTAGCTTTGGAGCCTGTCCTAGAGCTAGCTCTTGTAGACCAGGCTGGCCTCAAGCTCACAGAGATCTGCCTGCCTCTGCCTCCCAAGTGCTGGGATTAAAGGAGTGTGCCACCACCGCCCGGCTGAAAAATATTTTTAATTCCCTAAAAATGATACATTTCCTAAATCAGTAGTCAGGGCTAGAGGTAGATGGAGGAACAAAAAGTGACTGTTGTTGGGTATGGTTTGCTTTGGGTGTTAATGAACACTCCCCAATTGGATAGCTGTGATGGTTGTGTAACCTTGTAAATATACTAAATTGTGTACTTTTTGTTTACTCTAAATGGTGTGTTTTAAAAGTGAATTTTATGTAGGGGAATGGTACATACCTATCATTCCAGCTACTTTAGAGGTTGAGGCAGGAGGATTGTTTGAGCCTAGGAGTTCAAGGTCAACCTGTGTTAACATATCTCTAAAAACAAAAAAAGTTAAAATAAATGAAAACTAAATTATAGCATCCAAGTTCTGTTTTGCATACAAAACAAATTCCTAATATTGCAAAACAAAACAAAAACCCTTGAGTTTCAGAATTCCCATAATGTTCTTTTATGGTTTGTTTCTTTTTCTTTTTTTGAGACAGGGTTTTCTTGTATAGCCTTGGCTATCCTGGAACTCTGTAGACCAAGCTGGTCTCAAACTCAGAGATCTGCCTGCCTGTACCTCGCAACTGCTGGGATTAAAGTCATGCGCCACCACTGCCAGGCTTTCTCATAATTTTCTTATTGTTCTTGGGTGAAATGAGTCTTGAGTTTTACTAATAAAATTTCATGTGGATAGAAAAGTTTCCTGCTTCTTTGGGAGGTGGAAGACAGTGAAGACCTGTTGACCTGAAATCTTGGGCTACAGGGGTCTTTCATAGGCTCAAGCCATCACTGTACTCACATTAAAAAGTATTCAAATTTGAAATCATTCTGCTGTTTTATTTCTATAGCAATCTATATACCAGAGCCATTAAGGCATATACATTTGATGAGATAGCTCGGGTGTAAGAGTGAACTTTTTAAAATGAAAATGGTGCCAGGCAGTGGTAGTGCAGGCCTTTAATCCTAGCACTCAGGAGGCAGAAGCAGGCAGATCTCTCTTAGTTCAAGGCCAGCCTGGTCTACAAAGAGAATTCCAGGACAGCCAGAGCTGTTTATTTCACAGAGAAACCCTGACTCGAAAAAAAAAAAAAACTGAGGGAGGGGGGGGGGGGGAGAGAGAGAGAGAGAGAGAGAGAGAGAGAGAGAGAGAGAGAGAGAGAGAGAGAGAAGGCATACACACACACACACACACAAGTAAATCTCAGAAAAGAAAATGGTATTTGTCATCCAGTTTAAGAAATCCCAGCACTCGTGAGGCAGAGGCAGGTAGATCTCTGTAAGTTCAAGGCCAGCCTGGTCTACAGAACAAGTTCCAGGACAGACTCCAAAGCTACACAGAGAAACCCTGTCTCAAAAAAAAAGACAAAAAAAGAAAAAAGGCTTAATTAACAGTGTTATTGAGTGTAGACATTTGACATGGGTTTGAATGAGGAATAGAGAAGGGAGAGTCTATTAATTCGGGATGTAAAAGTAGCTCCTTTCCTTGATGAGAATCAAACCTAGGACATGGGTGGTAACCAATTGCACTTCCACTTACCTGTATATCCTAAATAGTTTGATTTGGTTTTGGTTTTTTGATACACAGTTTCACTCTGTGGCCCAGGATGGTTTTGAACTTGAGAATCCTCACAATTAGCAGTTTGAACCAACATGCCCAACTCAAAATAGCTTTCAGAATTGAGCTGGCAAATACTATATTCCTATTTGTAGGTATAAATTATTTTGTTATGAGATTAGAACATGGGAAGTGTTGGTAGAATTCACAGATTAGATTTGATCTTATTATTCAGGATTTCTTTCTTGTTAATCATTAGGAAAAGAAGTTTTATTGCTGATGCAAGCACTAAACACCCTTTCAACCCCAGAGGAGAAGCTGGCAGCTCTTTGTAAGAAATATGCTGATCTCGTGAGTATTCAGTCACAACTGTGAGGGCCATAAAAATATAACAGAATATGTGTGTATGCTTGATAGGCTTTTTAAAATATAATTTTGATGTATCTTAAAATGTAAAATATTTTATGCAAAAATGGCAAGAGAATCTGATTTCTTGAGGCCTTTTTTTGTTGGCTTCATGATTTTATTGTTTTATTTATTTTTTGGTTTTTAGAGACAAGTTCTTGCTATGTGGTATTGGCAGGCCTGGAACTTGCTTTGTAGGCCGGATTGGTATTAAATAACTCATAGTTGTCAGCCTGCCTCTGCCTCTGCCTCTTCTGCATTGTTATTAAAGGTATGTGCCAGCACACCGAGCGACTTTTTCTAGCACATAGAGAAGACCATAGTGCTAAGCTGTGGTATAGGCCTTTTCCTTTCCTTTGACTTTGAGGGTCTGGTTTTATTGTGCATGCCAGTCTTCAGCTTCTGGGCTCTAGTGATCCTTCTGCCTCAGTCTTCTGAGTAGTTGAAACTACAAGCATGTGCTGGCTGGCACAGATTTTCTAAAACTCAGTGTTACTACATTTAGTGTGTGTGCATGTGTGTTGCATGCCTATAATTCCAGGATTTGAGAGGTACAGGCAGGAGGATTAGGAGTTCAATGCCATAGGGAATATGATGCTAGACTGGAATACATACATAAGACCTACTCAAAAAAAATTTTTTTTGAAATAGCGTTGGTTGTTCTGGAACCTAATAGACTAAGCTGACCTTAGACTCCTCCGTTTATAACCCAGATGTTGAGATAACAAGGCACTTTCTCTCTTTCTTGTGTGAGATACAAATGAGCCAAAGGTCAGTGGAAGGACATTGGGTCTTTCCATTTTATTGTCTTGAGATAGGGTCTTTTACAGAAGCTGAAACTAGTGATCCTCTTGACACACGCATACCTCCCCCAAATAACACAGGGTTATAACTGTCTACTTTTTATATGTGTACTGGGTGGGGGTTTGAACTCATATACTTGCACAAAAAGCACTCTTACCCCACTGAGTACTTTTGGGATGAGTTTCTCACAACATGAAAAGCATTATGAAACATGTACAAGCCAGACTCAGTAGTTCAGAATGTTTACTTCTCTAACAGATGACGTGGGTTGGATTTTTAGCACCCATGTAGTCCCTTACAACTTCCTGGAACTTCAGTTTAGTCAGTTTCAGGAGGTCTGATACCTCTTCTGAGTCCGGTGGGTTCCTGCATGCATGTGCTGTACATCCATACACTCAGGCATGCATACATACACACAAAATTAGATATTTTTTAAGAATTTACATAAATTGTCTGGGTGTGGTGATGCAAACACTTGTAATTCCAGCACTTGGGAGGCTGAGGCCAGAGCATTGCTATGAGTTTGAGGCCAACCTAGGCTATACAGTGAGACTTTGTGTCCAAAAAAAAATAAAATAAAATAAAAAAATTGGACCAGCAAGGTGACTTAGCTGCTAAAGGTACTTACTGCCAAGCCTGATGACCTGAGTTGGATTTCCCAGGACTCACATGGTGGGAGAGAACTGATTCCTATAAGTTATCTTCTAACCTCCACAGGCATGTTGTGGCACATACACAATAAATAAGTGAGTAAATAAAAAATTTTAGAAATTGGTGTTACTGAAATTAATATGTTCCTTCCATAAATATCTTAAAGACTGGTGCCTGTTAGCGCAGACTTGTAATGCCAGCTATTCAGGAGACTGGGGCAAGAGCATCAAAGTTCAAGGGTTCTATGGGCAACTTAGTGAGACACTGCCTTAAAATAAATCAACAAAAAAAGGTTGGAGAGGGCTGGAGAGATGGCTCAGTGGTTTCCAAAGGTCCTGAGTTCAAATCCCAGCAACCACATGGTGGCTCACAACCATCTGTAATGAGGTCTGGTGTCCTCTTCTGGCCTGCAGACATACACACAGACAGACTATTGTATACATAATAAATAAATAAATATTTTTAAAAAAAAGGTTGGAGATACTGCTCAGTGGTCGTGAGGCTGCCCCAGGTTCAATCTGTAGTACCAGAAAAAAAGAATTCAAAGTACCTTAAAAGATGATATTACTAACCTGGAACATTTCCAGCAAAGTAAGACTTAATACCAAGAATATCTGAAGTGGCTTAGGGATTAAGAGCCCCTAGCTGCTTGTCCAAAAGACTTGGGGTTAGAGTCCCAGCATCCACACGGCAGCTAACAACCTGCTATAATTCCAGTTCCAGGGAATCTGATGCCCTCTTCTGGCCTTTGTAGGTACTACATAAATATTGTATATGTGCAGGCAAAATGCCCATACACATAACATTTTACTAAGTATATCTGAAAGGACACCTAGGACTAAGGAAGTGTAGATCATATATATAATGTAGCTAGTGGGCTAAATCCAACCAAAGCCTGTTTTTTTCTGAACTGTCCACAAGTAAGAGTAAGTTTTCAATCTGTTTAAAGAATACATGATGGCTGGTGTGGTGATGAATACTTTTAATCCCAGCACTCTGCAGGCAGCTGAACCTCTGAGTTTGAGGCCAGCCTGGGGTATATACATAGTGATACCCTGCTCAAAAAGAGAATACATGAAGCGGGGCAGTGGTGGCACGCACCTTTAATCCCAGCTCTTGGGATGCAGAGGCAGGCAGATCTTTGTGAGTTCAAGACCAACCTGGTCTACAAAGTGAGTTCCAGGACAGCCAGAACTGTTACATAGAGAAACCCTGTCTTGAAAAAAAAATATATATGTACATATACACATGCGTACACACATATATGAATACATGATAAGCTTTGGAAGTAGGAAGTGGTTTGTCATTGGCATTCAGCAGTTCTTATGACTGCCTACACCCTGTACCTATTTGACCAGAATGGAGCGTGTCTGCACTATACACATGTACTGTAAGAAGAAATCAGGATCTCAGAAGAAGAGGAATAAGGAATAAAAACTGTTATGTGTGATGCGCTTCTTTGTTGACTCATTTGTCAGTAAGATGTCCCTCCTAGACATGGAACATGGCTTTCTGACTTTCAAAACTAGCTAGCTGTTAGAATCTCCATTACTATGAAGTTGCCATAAATGCTACTGACTTGGACGTGACTTTGCTGCTCCATGTCTACAGTGTGCTGTATGTGGAGTTGGTCCTGAACAATTCTCTATGCCTGCTGGGACTAACTGCCAAGTGAGCTCTTTCATTCCTGGCTAGATTCTTTTTTCTGCTCTTTGCCCTTCTCTGTTGGAGTCAGCTGAAACACCTACATCACCCCCAGAAGAATCTGTGAATGCCTGAGTCCTTCTTGACTTGTGGCATTATGTCTCCCCAAATTTTCAACCTGAAGGTCCCCCCACTTCCTGCCTTTAAGTCATTAGAATGAAGCCTACAGGAATCCTTTCCAGTTTTATCCCCACCTGACTGTGAGAGAAGTATAGAATATTTTTTTAACATGGCAGGGTCTGTGGCCCACAATGCCCCTAACAATCCCTGATCAGTAGGTACATGCCAACAATATTGTTGAGTTGTAGCAGTATAATTCAGAATGTGGCATCTCAGAATCACCATGTGGCTGCTTAGTGTAAATTAAAGAAAGTAAAAATATCAGTTCCTCAGTCAACAATGAAAAACAAAAAGTGTTTTTGCTTTTTAAAATGTTATTAAGGACTACACAGATGAAATAACATAAAAAGGACAACAAGGGTAGTGAGCACAGGGTTGTTTGTGATGGTCCTAGAGTAGAGGTGGTTGGCAGCAGTTCAATCTGACTCTTCAGCCTCTGAAATTATATTGCCATGCTTAGTCCATAGTAGGGCAACTTTACATATTATGCAAAACCAGCAATTCTTCCTGGAGGAATTTCTGTAAAAGTGTTAATATCAGTAAGCAGATCATTTGGTAGTAGTTTTTGGTTGGTTGGTTTGGTCTTTTACAGACATAGTTTTATTTGTCCCATGGTATTCTGGAACTCATTATGTTGCCAAGAATGTCCTTGGACTCCTGATCTCCTTGCCGGCATTACCCTCCAAAGTACTGGGATTGCAGGCATGAGCCACTATATCTTTCTACAAGGTTTAGTGTATTTTGAAAAGCCACAAGATGGCACTCTTGTTCTTTATGACTCTGCATCAATTTCTTCAAAGATGTTCAGGAAGGTTGGTAAGGCTGCCATCTTATCTGTTAGTGTGGATGTCACCTTGAAAGGAATTCATTTTATTCAAACCTAAAATTGTAGCAATTCTTAAAGAGAACCCTGAGTACTGCTTAGTTAAAAAGTTCTAAATTTAGTTCAAGGACATACTCATAAAAGCTGGTGTTTTAGGGAAAAAAAGTTCAGTATTGATTCCTAAAACACCAGCTTTTCTGAGTATGTGTGTGTTTATGTGTGAGAGAAAGAGTGCTGATACTTGAGTACCATAATGTGCATGTAGAGGTCAGAGGACAACTTTCCAGAATGAGTTCCAAGGATTGAACCCAGACCATAAGGTTTGCGTGGCAAGCCTCCTCCCAACCCCAGTGACCTTATTGTGCCAATACAACATTGGCTTCTTTTATAATAAAAATAAAAACAAAAAGCACAATAATCTTGTTTATTTAATTAAAGTTTTTTACTTTATATATATGGGTATTTTTGTCTGCATGCATGTCTGTGTACCGTGCATATGCCTGGTGCTCTTGGAGACCAGAAGAGGGTCTCAGATACCCGGGGACTAAAGTTACAGACAATGTAAGCTGCCTGTATATCCTAGAAATTGAAGCCAGGGAGTTACAGATGGTTATGGGCATTGTGTAGGTTCTAGGAATTCCACCCAGGTCTTCTAGAAGAGTAGCCAGTGCTCTTCATAACCACCAAGCCATCTCTCCAGTCCCAATAATCCCTCTTTGATTTCAACAAATCTTAATAGATAGGAAAGAGTCTACAGACAGATAGCTACCCAAGAAGCAGAAACTCAAGAGACGCTAACTTTGCCAACTAAGTTACGAACCCAGAACACAAAACTTCTGGAACAAGAAATAGATCACTTCATAGGATTATAGCTGGAAATTGAGGAGCCTAAATTGCCTGTGAATCACTGATTTGAAACCAGAAAGATTCTGTAATTAGTCTCTGAAGTCAGTCAAAGGTAACAAATCAAGGTCCGCAGGTCAATGTGGAAATTTTCAAGATTCCAATTCCCACTACACTCTATACTCTTGGGCAATTTTTGGGCTGACATGGTTATATAAAATTTGAATAAAGTGGAACTTGAATATTGAAAGGTTGTTCTGAAGATGAAGTATATCTAAATGGCTGAAGAAAGATTAAGGTCATTTCTGTCTTCACTAAATTGCTTACCTTCCTTACAACTAAAACAGAGACATTGGTAGTGTCACATAGCATGAAACAGTTTGATTAAAATTATGATGCAGTATTGCCTCCCCCCTCCTGCATGCCCTATGATTTGGTGATGCTAGGGATGGAACCCTGCCCTAGTGTTACATGTGGGAGGGAAGTGCTCTTCACTGAGTGAGCTATAACTTAAGCTCCCAGTATTTGGCACACACTGAATGCATTATCTGAGGAGGCCAGAAGAGGGGATCAGATCTTCTGGAACTAGAGATACAGACTGTGCTGGGAACTGAACTCTTTAGATCCTTTGCAAGAGAAGCAGCAAGCACTCTTAACCACTAAGCCATCTCTTCAGTCCAATAGTTGGCTTCTTTTGTATTTAAAGGCTCATATTGTAGCCCAGGCTGAACTGGTACTCATTATGTACCCCTAGACTGGCCTTGAAATCATGGCGATCCTCCTGCCTCTGCCTCCCTGAGTGCTGGGGTTAGACTGGGCTCATGACATCTGAATATTCATCTTTATTGAATAAAATGTTTGTGATGCTCACAAATTTTCCAGGACCATCATGCTGGGCAATGAACATTTTATTTTAAAAAAAAATTAAAATGTTGTGTGTGTGTGTGTGTGTGTGTTTGTGTGTGTGTGTGTGTGTCTGCCCGTGCCCATGGGGCTCAGAAGAGTGTGTTGGATCCCTTGAAACTCTGCAGCTTATAGGCAACCATGAGCCACCTAATGTGGGTGCTGGGACCTGAACTGGGCCCCTGGAAGATCAGTAAGTGCTCCTAACTGCCTAGCCACCCCTCCAGCCCGAGCTCTTCGTTGAGTTTGGTGGCACATGCCTATAATCTCAGGTTGAGACAGGAGGATTGAGGGTTGTAGTCCAACCTGGGCTACATAGTGAGTCTAAAAAAAGAAAATTGATTCTTCTAGCATTTACTGAGGTACTGAGGGGCTTTTGATATTATTTCCTGAATGTAAAGTACTTGATAATTTTAGCTGGAGGAGAGCAGAAATGTTCAGAAACAAATGAAGATTCTGCAGAAGAAGCAAGCCCAGATCGTGAAAGAGAAAGTTCACCTGCAGAGTGAACACAGCAAGGCCATCTTGGCAAGAAGCAAACTGGAGTCTCTTTGCAGGGAACTTCAGCGTCACAATAAGACCTTAAAGGTTAGTTGATTTTTTTTTCTTCTATTTTACAGAAATAATTTTCTCAACTGATTTTACAGGGGATCATCTTGTATGTATTTGAAATCTGAAATCTGTGCCTACCCAGAGACGAGATATGAGCCTTTCTGGTTTGCTTGGGCTGATGCTTCGTATGAGACAATATAGTGTGAGACGGATAGAATAACACTGTGTGTTAAATGTGGGTTTCCTATTCAAAAAAAGGAATTCCCTCATATTTTGGTCACAGGGAATAAGTAAACATTGCAACCCCCACTCTTTAGCTTCCTTTTTAAAAGGTTTTATTTATGTGTATGATGTTTTGTCTGCATGTATATGTGTGTACCATGTGCAGTGCTGGAACCCAAAAGAGGGTGTTGAATATGCTGTAACTGAGGTTACTGACAGTTATGAGCCACTATCTGCTGGGTGCTGGGAACTAATGAACATGGTTCTCTGCCAAAGCAGCAGTGCTCTTAACCACCGCCCTGTCTCTCCAGTCCACCCATCTCTTGAAGCCATGGTTTAGGAAGCCCAGAGTTGCCAGTTTTCTGTAGAGCACTAAGTAGTTGCCATGAAATGAGAAACTGGTAAATTTAGAATCAGTGTTGTGAGAAAGGAGCACTACCGAGCACTAGGTGGATGTCAGGGCTGTCAAGTTCCATGGCCATTCCCAGGTACTGAGTACTTTTGGCAGTTGCACGTAGATCTTGGCAGATTATACAGGAAGAGTCAGCAGGTACCCAAAGATGAATTGGTATGCATGGAGGAAGAGAGGAAAAAAGAGCCATGAAAGGGATCCACCTCTTAACATTGTAGCTAGCCTGTCCTTGTATACAACAGAGTAGGATTTTAAGCTGGAACTTCGAGCAAGTGCCTCATCTCTTAACTACATCCCAGGGACCTAGATACACCAGCACTTAGGAGGACATGGATTTTTCACCAGATAGGAATTAACATTTGCTTCAAGATTTTATTGTGTGTGTGTGGGGGGGGAGTATGCACACACACACTCACAGTGAGAACCTGAATCTCTTGGAGTTATAGGTGGTTGTGAACCACCTGATATGGATGCTGGGGACTGAACTTGTGTTCTGTAGAAGAATAGTAAGTGCTCTTAACTCTTAACTCCTGATCCATCTCTTTAGTCTTACTTTTGATCCTTTGTATTTATTTTACTTAAAAAAAGATTGATTTATGTGTATGAGATTTTTGCCTGCATGTATACCTGTGTACCAGTAGATAGCTGGTGGCTACGATCAGAAGCAGGCATCAGAAATGGGAATTACCCTGAACTGGGAGTTATGGATGGTTGTAAGCCACCACATGGGTGCTGGGAATCAAACCAAGGTCCTCTGCAAGATCAAGCATTCTTAACCACTGAGCTATCTCTCCAGCCCTGAACCTTTAAATAAGATAAAGTAGGTGGTACCTGGGCTAACAGTGCATGCCTGTAATCACAGCTACTTAGAAGACTGAGGCCAGAAGTATTGCAAATTCAAGACCTGCTAGGCTACAGAACAAGTTCAAGGCCATCCTGGGCAACTTCATGAGATCTTGTTTCAAAATGAAAAATAAAAATTGGACTTGGGATATAGCCTACTCACTTGCCGAGTATGCTCAATCCTCTTAACTTCCACTACCCCCAAATTAAAAGTTAGGAGGCATTTTTCCCTATAACTAGTTGTTTTGAATGAACTAGTAAAATTTACATTTGAAGGTAAGATTTTTAAAATAAGGATGTCATTGGTCTCTTAAGAGAGGTGTGGCCTAGAAAGTAAATGGAAGGAGAGTTGTCTGCTCAGACTCATCTAAGTGTGGTTATCAGGAAGCCTGTTCCAGTAGTCAATTGATAGAACTGGGACTCTATATCTCATCACTCTGTACGGGTTTTTATTTTTTTCTTTGTTTTTTTCAAGACTAGATTTCTCTGTATAACAGCCCTGGCTGTCCTGGAACTTGCTCTGTAGACAAGGCTGGCCTTGAACTTAGAGAAAGTTTCTGATCCTAAGTAAGGAGGACAAATTGTACTTTAGAAGCAGTGTTTCAGGGCAGTCACAGCAGCTTTTTTTGCTCTCCACATGCTAGGCAAATACTTTTTTACCAAGCTGCATTTCTAACCTTTTTTATTTTTGGTGTGTGTGTTCATTTCTGTGTTGGGGGGGTAGTAGAGTAAGTTTGCATGTGAAATCCCTTCAGAGCTAGGATTACAGGCACAGGCTGCCATGCCCTACTTTTTATGTGGGTGTTGGAGATTTGAACTCAGGTCCTCAGGCTTGGGCAGCAGGTACTTTACCAACTGAACTACTTCCCCTACCCTCTAGTTTTTGTTTGAGACAGGGTCTCACTAGGCTGCCCAAACTGTTCTTTAACTCACTCTTTATGCCCAGGCAGGCTTTGAACTTGGGATCTCCGCCTCAGCCTTGAGTAGCTGAGGTCACAGGCTTGGCGACAGCAGCTTCTTTGAGCATTTTACCCATGGGTGTACTATTAACAAAATTTCCTTTGGGTATTAGGAGGAAAATATGCAGCAGGCAAGAGAGGAAGAAGAGCGACGTAAAGAAGCAACAGCACATTTCCAGATTACTCTAAATGAAATACAAGCCCAGCTGGAACAACATGACATACATAATGCCAAACTCCGACAGGAGAACATCGAACTGGGAGAGAAGCTGAAGAAGCTCATTGAGCAGTATGCATTGAGGGAAGAGGTAATACCGTTCAATTGCTTTCCACAGCTTCTCACTGTTAGTAGTAACATCTCTGTTTACTTTAAAAGTATTGTCACAGGTGTATAAGGTGGGTTTATTGACTAGGGAAAGGATTAAACCATTGCATAACCAGAAAGATTACTTGAGAATCTGCATGAATAGGCAAGATAATTTACAGTTTTGTTAAATATTAGTTCCATGAAGTACTAGAATATGGCAGTTTTCACATTATTTTCTTATCTGGACTAATAATGAATAAATGCTTGGCTCCGGAATACCCTGCATCTCAAGACATTTGTGATAATCTATATAATACCTATAGCCATTTCATTACATCTGTGTCTCAGTTTTATGTTTGTTTTTGACTTTTTTTCCTATTGATATTGGGTTTTGCTTATTGCCCTGGGTGGCTTCCAATTCATGGGCTTAAATAGATTTTCCTATTTGAACAGCCCAGCCCAGCTTTTACATTTAAAAGTATTCTTTTTTTTTAATTGGGTTTCTCTGCCCTATCTGTCCTTGAACTAGCTCTGTAAACCAGGCTAGCCTCAAACTCACAGAGATCTACCTGCCTCTGCCTCCTGAGCGATGGGATTAAATGCATGCACCAACATTGCCTAGCAACAACTAATTTTTTACTTAGGTTTTTGCACTGCTAGTGGTCAAATCCAAGGCCTTGGCCCTACCATGAGAACTTTCTGTTCCTAACCTAGCTACCCTCAACCCTATTTTTTCTTTATCTTTTAGTGCTGGGATCAATCCCATGAACCTTATGTATGCTAAGTATGTCTTATCGTTGAACTTAAACAATAATTTTTTTCTATGGCCCAGGCTGACTTGAAACTCCCTATATGGAACTCATGTCACGTCTTTGCTTTCTGATTGCTAAGATTATAGGTGTCCTGTTTTTTTTTTTTTTCCAGACAGTGTCTCGCTATGGTCTTGAATGTGTTTTGAGTTTTCAACAGTCTATTTTTAATTTTATATGCTTGTCTTTGTCTGGATGTGGGTTTGTGTACATGAGTGCAGTGGCCACAGAGGCCAGAAGAGGACTGGATCCCCTGGAACTGAAATTATAGGTGACAGTGAGCTGCCCAAGGTTGGTGCTGGTAACCAAAATCAGAGCAGCACTTGTATTTGCTGAGTCATGTCCCTAGTTCCTATGGCTTGAACTCATTAAAAATTTGTAAAAATTAATTTTATGTGTATGGGTGTTCTGTTTGCACATGTATCTGTGCATATAAGGAGGCCAGAAGAGAGTGTCATATCCCCCGAAACTGGAGTTATAGTTGGTTGTAAGCATCCATGTGAGTGCTGGGATTCAAACTCAGATTCTCTGGAAAAACAGCCTTAAAATTCTTAAATTCGTAGATATTTCACTATTTAATTCAAAAAGCTCTTTTTGGCCGTATAATTTTCACATCTAAAAATGAAGTTAGCATCTGCTTGTCTTTTTAATATTTATATGTGTGTGGGTGCCCCAAGAGGTCATAAGAGGTTATTGGATTCCCAGGAGCTGGAATTACAGGCATTTGTGAGCTGCCCATCATAGGTACTGGAAAACAAACTTGGGTCCTCTCTGCAAGAGCAACAGCAAGAAGAGCAGCAAGAACTCTTAAGCATTCCTACTTTCCTGTTATTAAAAAATCTGAATTAAAATCCAAATAAAGTTTGTCTACTTCACTAGATTATGTCTGATCTCCAAAATACAGATTTCCTTGGTCTGTTTTTATTATTGAAGAACTTATTAAATAAAGTTTTGTGGGTTTGTTGTCATTCAGGTTAAAACTTACCATTAAATTATTAAAGCCCAAATTTTCTTTTTGGTTTCCTCTGTAATCCTGGCTATCCTGGAGCTTGCTATGTAGACTAGGCTGACTTCATATTCACAAAGATCCTCCTACTGGGATTAAAGAAGTGCCACCCCCAGGCCAGATCCTAATTTTCTTACAATGATTCTTTTAATTTTATTGTTTAATGGACTCTTCATTGATGTAGCAAATTAGAGAATCATGTGTTTGTTCAAATTCATAAATGAAAATATAATCTGCCATTTTAATATCTAGGTTATCTTATCACCCCACTAGTATTCTTCCTGTCACATATCATACTATAACTGGAAGAATCCCAATTCTGCAGTTCCAAGGTGGCATGTTTTGATGGCTTTGGTGTTTTGGTTTGTATAGCTAGCCACTTAACAGTTTTAATCAGAAATACGAACTTTTCCAAATGTCTGGTAAGGCACCAAACTCCTTTGGTTTGACTCAGCAAACATACTGGCATTGAGATTTAGCTGGACAGAAACTTAACTAATTGATTGCCTGAGTTTGGCTTTGACTTATGCTGCCTTCAATTGAGGAATTCAGCAAAATTTGATGGGGAGGGGGAAAAAGGAATGGGCAGAAAAAGTGTGTGTATGTGTGTCTTGATGTTTATTTTCTCAGTACATGGCAGAAACAAGAACTTCAAAGCTTGTGGTGGTGCCTAGCTCCAACAGCGCAATGATCTTGCAGGTGGTGTCAAACATTGTTATAGGTGTAGGGACAGAAGACCTAGGTTATTAGCTATGTGGGTTTTACAGGAAAGCAGGGCAAGCAGGGCAAGCAGAGTGTTTTAACATCTTATATTTCCTCCCCATTGTGTTCCTCTCTTCATGAAGTGATGAAAGGAATTCTTTTTTCATAGCACATTGATAAAGTATTCAAACACAAGGAATTGCAACAACAGCTTGTGGATGCCAAACTTCAGCAAACGACACAGCTGATAAAAGAAGCTGATGAAAAACATCAAAGAGAAAGAGAGTTTGTAAGTTCTGTTCCTTAAGAAAAAAAAGAGAAAAAGGTATTGCCAGTATTTTAACTAAAACATTTAATGTCACCCAAGGGGTATGATAGTTAATTATTAGTTCTAGAAAGCTTTTGGCTGCTTCTGTTCAGAGATCCACTTGCCTGTCTCCTGAGTGTCTCCCACTGCCGGGATGAAAATATGCATCACTGCCAGGTGGTGGTGGCACATGCCTTTAATCCCAGCACTCAGAAGGCAGAGGCAGGTAGATCTCTGGGAGTTCTAGGCCAGCCTGGTCTACAGAGCTAGTTCCAGGACAGCAGAGCTACCCAGAGAAACCCCGTCTTAAAAAGCCAAAAAACAAAAAAAAAAAGGAAAACAAAAAAAAGGAAAACATAGGCACCACCATCCCTTGCCATGGTTTTGTTTTTGAACAAGTTGACATGATCTGTGTAACTATTTTGTGAGTTTATTGAGTTAGGGTCTTATTATAGCCTCGGCAGAAGATGAAACTTGAGTTCCTCATGCACCATCACACCCAATTTATGATTTGCTGAGGACTTAACCCCAGGGCTTTGTGGATATACAGCAAGCACTCTATCACTTGAAGCATCATCTCCAGTCCTTCACCAGTTTTTTTCTTGTTGTTTTTTATGCTTAGAATCCTGTCATCTAATTTCATTGCTTTTCTATAGCCTTCTACCCAGTCTTATCTTGCTCCTCAGGTAGCAGAAGTTTTCTGAGCCATTTGAGGTACTTAGCAGTGTTTTCTGCTAATATCAGACATGTCATTTTTACCTAAAATACCACCCTTAAACCTGAATTTTGTGAATTGTTTTAGGCCTCCACAGTACCTTTACCTTTTTCTAGTTAAGAAGTAAAAAATGCCTTTCTGCTTCTGTAAGCATTGCTAAGAAGCATAATAATGGAAGGTGAATGTAAACGGCAACTGAAAGAAGGTATTCCATTTGTAGGGTAGTCATTCTTGCTAAAATAGTGAGCATAAATGTGTGGTAGAATTGGATCATTATTCGACATTATATTCACAGTTGTAATTGCTATTAGTACTTTTGCAAGAATGTTTCTGTTTTCTAGTTACTAAAAGAAGCAACAGAATCCAGGCACAAATATGAACAAATGAAACAGCAAGAAGTACAACTAAAACAGCAGGTAACTTGATAGTTCGGGATAGCGAACTTTAAGAAAAATCATTCATTTAATAAGTACGTTCAATCTCCTCTAAGGTGGTGTTTTGCTTGTTCCCAGAAAAGGAAGCAATCACGCATATCTCTTGAAAGTCTCTTTTTAATTTAGGGTGACCTTCCAAATTTGAGTGTTCCTGGTTTTATAGTACTAAAAGACTGTCTTAGTAGGCCCCCACTCCCAAATCTCAGCCCAGCTGGGATAAAATTAGTTATTCATCTTTCATGGCTTTCATTTGTGTTACCTCATTTCTCACTAAAGGAAACTGACAAACTTCCAGATTCAAAGAATGTTATAAAATTTCACATACCTTAACATATTTGTAATTTTGTGCCAATTTAGCACATAAGCAGTCTAAAAACTACTTGTAAGCATAGTTTCACTTGTAGGTAGTTTTGTGAAATGCTTTTAGCCAAGGCTTTCTCTCCTTTTTCACTCTAGATTCTGTGGTGTTGTTACAGTGAATAAGTGTGTACGATCCATCTCTTCTTGAGATGGTACAAGACAGACTTCTGTCTTAACAGGTGAAATTAGGTGTTTGTAATTATAATCTACCCCCTTTCAGCTAAATATTACTGAAATAATTATCAAGTTTAGTGCGAGGCTCTTTATGCACTAATACATGAAGCCTGGCATCAGTCTTTTTTTTCTTCTTTTTTGGTTTTTTGAGACAGGGTTTCTCTGTGTAACAGTCCTGGCCATCCTGGAACTAGCGCTGTAGACCAGGCTGGCCTTGAACTCAGAGATCCACCTGTCTCTGCTGGGATTATAGGTTTGCACCACCACCCCTGGGCAGCATCAATCTTTATAAGCACCTCTTCTAGATACTATTTTTTGAGTAGGGTAGGACATTTTATAGTATTGGTGAGATAAACTTCTTACAAAGCGATTCTAACTTTTTTGAGACAGGGTTTCTCTGTGTAACAGCTTTGGCTGTCATGGAACTTACTCTGTAGACCAGGCTGGTCTCAAACTTAACAGAGATCTGCCTGCCTCTCAAATACTGGGATTAAAGGCATGCACCACAACAACCTCGCAAAGCTAGCCCAATTTAAGAGTACAAATTTTAATAGTTTTCACCATAAGTTATGCTATCAGAAGACTGGTAGGAAATTCAAATCAATTACTGCTCAGTCCTATGCATTCAGTTGTACAAATGGAGACGAGTATCAGTGTGGATGAGGTATAAAGTCCATGTTCTGCAGATGTTGATAAACTGCCCTGTGCCATTTTACTCTTTCTGCTTTTACTATGGTATTTCATAGTTGCCTTGGCCCACTGTTTTGTGATTAGCCACTTAAGTCCAAGTGTAATGATAGTTGCCATCTATTCACTATTGTGGGCCAACATTGAACTCTAAAGAGACAGCCGTGGTGTGGATGCAGTGGTGGTGCATACCTTTAATCTCAGCACTTGGGAGTATGAGGCCAGCCTTGTCCACAGAGCTAATTTCAGGACAGCTAGGACTGTCACACAGAGAAATTCTGTCTCAAAGAGAGAGACAGACAGACTTCCTTTGGAGGTCCCATCGTCAAAACAGGCTTCACTGAAACTACTGGAGTGTCTAATTCCAAGTGCATCAAGAGCTCTTGACTCAACTTGAGCATTACTGTTGTCCCTGACTTCAGGCTGTCAGCCTCAGATGCATTGTTAGGGTGGAACACACCTCCACTAGCTTTTGCTCAATCCTCAGCATTCTATTGCAGTTCCTATTCTTTTCTTACACTTTTATGCGGATACTCCTTGTTGCCTGTCTCCTAGTGATCACTTCTAGCCTGATGAACTTTGCTGCTGCTTCCCCCACAGCAGCACCTGCTCCAAGTGCTTCCCATATGGCACACCCACCTATAACTGTGGGTGGGCTGCCTTCCATCATATCCCATCTCAACTTCCCACGTTTTGTTAGATGTTATCTATAATATTCCTCTCATCACTGATTACATGGTTTTTTGACATCTAAGATTAAGAATCTTATGTGCATGAATGCTTTGCCTGTGTGTGTGTATGTATATGTATATGTGTATGTGTATGCCTGGTGCAGAGTCAGAAGAGAGAATTACAAATAGTTGTGAACCTCCATGCAGGCACTGGGAACCAAGGCCCAGGTCCTCTGCAAGAACACCAAGCACTCTTTCCTGCCCCTCTACTTAGGTGTATTTTGTGAGCTCAGGAAGGGGAAGAGAGTCTCTTCCTCTGGACTTGTTTCCTTGTAATGACATTAGACTATCTCTGAATGGTTCCCTCCTGGATCTTAAAGCTTTTCCTTTCTTTTGACACGATGTCCTTTCCTCTCTGGAGGTTTTCTCTGAAGGAGAATAAAGGGTGGAGTAGCTATATTTGATCTATGTGTGTGTGCGTGTTTGATACATTATATATCAAATTCCTTGAATACAAATTCCTTTATAAGAAAAAATGGTGCTTCTTAAGTTTTTATTCTTTCCTTAATCATCTCACTATCCCCAACCACTGTTCTGCCAACACTCAGGAGATATTGTTGATACTAAGCTAAGAACTTTGCAGAAACATGGTCTTTTAATTTTCACATGTTGGGGCATAGCTCAAAGCATTTGCAGGGGCATGAAATTTCTGACTACCACACCCAATGCATTTTAATTAATGGGGTTATAATTAATGCTAATGTTCCTGCATTTTAAATATATGTTAACAGCAATAAGCTCCCAAGTACTAGATCTCTTTGAATTATTAGAATTTTAGGCATCTGACTGCTATCCAGAGATTGGGTGTTTGCTCTTCTGTCATTTATAACAAATACCAACATGTAGTAAGTTTATGAGTTTGAATTGTTTACCTGGAACTCAGAATAACCAACTTTTTATTTTGTTCTGTAGCTTTCTCTTTATATGGATAAATTTGAAGAATTCCAGACTACTATGGCAAAAAGCAATGAACTTTTTACAACCTTCAGGCAGGAAATGGAAAAGGTATTTGTATGTTTTTTAGTGAACTGAAATATAAAAGGGATATTATGAGCTCTTTATTACTACTTGGAGTGAGTTTATATTGTTGATACTGTCTTTTATATATCTTTCCAAATAGAGGGCTATATTTAGTCACTTTTTTCTTTAGTGTGCCCCCAAGTAGCTTATCTTTATACTTTTAAGATTTTTCCTTACTTGCAGTAAATTCCTTTTTTGTTGTTTAGTTTTTAAAGACAGGTTTTCTCAGTATAACAGCCCGGCTCTCCTGGAATTTGCCCCATAGACCAGGATGGCCTGGAGATCTTCCCACCTCTGCTTCCCAAGGGCTGGGATTAAAGACTTGCATCACCAATTCTCAGCTAACTTTCTTATTAGAAATAGGCCTTTTCAATCACTTAACAGGCTTACTTCTAATCATTAAAAAAATTTCTTTTCTTGGCTACATTAGACCAGTAGACCAGAATGACATAATTTGACATGACCTTGAATATTTACTGCTCTAAGCTTAGCCCACCACACCCCATGTTTTAGGAGTTGCACTATGATGCCCAGGTTAGTCTTGAACTCTAAAACTCAAGCAGCTCTTTTGCTTCAATCCTCAGCCTCTCAGCCCAGGTAACTGCCGCTATAGGTACACACTACATCAGAATGTAGAATTTTTAAAAGTGGTGTTCAAAAGTATTATAATATTGTACAGTGTAAGCCATGACTATTATTCTACTAAATTAGAGTGTTGGTTGATGTTCCAGAGCACCCGTGTTGGGTGGTTCACAACCATCTGTTACTCCAAGTGATCTCATGCTCTCCCTATTCTGCTGTCTGGGCATTTTGCTCATGTGCATATACCCCCCAGACACATGAATGCACACAATTAAAAATAGCTCTACAGAGCTGGGAGATGGCTCAGTGGTAATAAACAGTGCCTATAATTCCTTCCTCTAGAGGGCTCAGTTCAGTTTCAGCACCCAAGTCAAGTCAATCATAAATACCTGTAACTCCAGCTCCTGGAAATCCAATGCCCTCTTCTGGTCTGCATGGGCACACACAGCCACGTGCACACAGATATACACATAAATAAAATATAAATCTTTAAAAAACGTGATTGTAAGCAAGTTGTTCTGACTTTGTGCCTCCCCCATTTACTCTGTGTGTATACATGCATGTACAATGGCACATGTGTGAGGGTCAGAGGACTAATTCTGAGTAGGGTCTCTCCTTACACCTTGTAGGTTCCAGGGATCAAACAGGTTCATCAGGCTTGGTGGCAAACACCTTCTTACTGACCCTTTAAAGGAAATAAAAAGACCCAGCAAATTCAGAAAGTGTTTGGCTCATTAAACATGTGCTCAATTACCAGGAGCTAAATAGTACTCAGATTACCACCTTTAAGTATTTTTAGACCTAGTAATCTGGAGCCTTCCATGAGCAGGTGATTTGTTCTGCCTACCAGTACTTTGAGTTGATAATCCGATCGAGGGGTAACTGTTAGGCACAGTAAGTATTAGCTGAATTCCAGCACATGCTCACTGTTGAAGTGGAACACAGTTCAAGACAGGGATTCCCCAAATTTGCTATCCTTGTGGAAGATCCTGTGGGATGGAAAAATACAGATCACTGTGGGTCAATACTCAACTCAGTTCTTCCATGAGCTCCTTCCACCGCCTTTGTCCTAATTTGTGTTAGCTACCAGGAGAAAGCTTCTGGTCTACCTTGTTCTGTTTCCCTTAATAGCACCTGGGGCTCAGTGTACTGACTTGAAAATCACAGCTGGCGTGAACTCAGTGGACAAAGGAATATTGAGAATGTGACCAACTGAATAGATAAATCTCATTCTCAACTTTTCTTGTAGCAGAGGTTTAAAAGTTGTCCTTTGTCCAGGCATAATATTACATGCCTTTAGTCTAATAATCCAGAGGCATAGGCCAGCCTGGTCATAACAACTTTCAGACCAGTCAAATGCTACACACACATACACCAAAAATGTTCCTTTGATTCTTTTGGGTCTACTTTATAGGTAGAATGAATTGTGAAGATAAAACATAACTTTAATTTGTATTAATTAAATTCCACCGCTTCTAATTCACAAATGATCAGAGCTTGTAACAGCTCAGTGAGGCAAATGCAGTGACAGAGAGGGAAGCAACGTTAAAGCTTTTTTGATAGGACAGCTGGTAGAATAAGAAATGGAATTAGGCCCTGGAGAGATGGCTCAGTTAAGCTTACTTGTTCTTGCAGAGTACTCGAGTTCAGTTCCCAGCATCCACACGGTGGCTCACAACCATTCATAACTTCAGTTCTAGGAGATCTGATGCCTTCTTTTCACCTCCTGAGAGCACCAGGCACATATGTTGTGCACACACATACATGCAGTCTAAACATTCGTTTATGAAGAAAATTTTAACTGGTAATTTAGGATTTTAAAGTTGTAATTACGTTCATTCACAGATGACAAAGAAAATTAAAAAACTGGAAAAAGAGACAATAATATGGCGCACCAAATGGGAAAACAATAATAAAGCACTTCTCCAGATGGCTGAAGAGGTAAGATGGTTTCCTGAGATTAGGATGTGTCATTAGTTATGCGTAGAGTACGATAGTTACTGAATAGACTGATGCCTTTCCTCATAGCTGGATAGTGGTGAGCCCTGAATGAAGGAGCAAACATTTTATTTATTGCCCAGTTAATACAAGCGTCTTCTGAGACAATGTCTTCTCAAATTTGAATTTATAATAATTCTTCCTAGAAAATGCCAGGATTACTAGATCCCAGCCAAAGGTGCTGACTGTCTAAGTTAGGTCAAGCATTTGCAAGAATGGCTAAAAGATGACTGGGCTTGGCGGTGTATACCTTAACAGCACTCAGGAGTCAGAGACAGGAGGATTTCTATGAGTTTGAGGCCAGTCAAAGCTGCATGGTTGAGACCTTATCTTTAGCAACAAAAACAAATCAACTGAGAGGTGCTGATGCATTGTCCAGGCCTAGGGAAGCTCATTCGTTGGACTTCCTAGTATGAGCACCAGCAAACACCCCAAATGCCTTTCTACCTAGAAAAAAAAAATACTTTTTGGCCATGTTCCAAGTGAAAATGTATTGCTTGCAGTCACTACACATCTTCATAAATTTGACAGGACTGCACAATGTTAGAGCACATGTGTATAAGAATCTTATTCTGCCAGGCAGTGATGACACCCATCTTTAATCCCAACACTTGGGAGGCAGAGGCAGGTACATCTCTGAGTTCAAAGCCAGCCTGGTCTTCAGAGTGAGTTCCAGGACAGCCAGGGCTAAAGAGAAATCATGTGTGAAAAACAAAACAAATTATTTCTAAGTTATCTTAGTTTTGCAAGTCTTTGACAACTACTTTCAATTTCTTTAAGTTAAAAGTTAATGTGAAATTTCTATCACATTAAGGGGATTTCATCTACTTTTAAGAATCAGAATTTAAAGCCATTATTATTAGATAGCAAGACAATCAAGGCATGGAAACTTGATTAGGTTTCTAAACTAAACATATAATAAACAATAACAGGTAGTTACCAATGTGGTTCAGTGCAGCTATTTTTGTTTAAAAACAACACCTAATTTATATTTAATGAGGTTATGGAACTGTCGACTGGTTTTGTTTTTCATTTGACACAAAAAAAAACCAACAGAAAACTGTCCGTGATAAAGAGTACAAGGCCTTTCAAATAAAACTGGAACGGTTAGAGAAGCTGTGCAGGGCTCTTCAGACAGAGAGAAATGAGCTCAACGAGAAGGTCGAAGTCCTGAAAGAACAGGTCTCTATCAAAGCAGCAGATGGGGACTTGGTGGCACCTGCGATGCAGTCCTGTGCTGCCCTGGATTCATTCAAGGAGATGAACACTTCAAGAAGAGCCCTGGGAATGCACTTGGAGGCTAGGGCCAAAGCCAAGTCAGTGAGTGAGAGAAGAAGTGCTGCACAAAAGCCCTCATCTTCAGGTTCTGCGCAAGGCATTGAGTCAGTTGACTAGGGTGAAATGTGATCACTGTATTGAGAGATATATTTTGTGTATAACTTCCTCTGTTAGTAGTAACTATTGGTTTTGTGGTGAAAATTTTCTTACTTTTTCTACCATATCTGTATTTTCTTAGAACTACTGGACTTATGTGGTACAGGAGGCTGCTTTGCAGTTTGAAATAGTTTTAATCTATAAATTTCCTTCACCTATGTTGCATATCTGCCTCATTTTCCCCCTTTGTTGGAGTGCATGTCTTCATTGCTTTGTCCTCTCTTTTTGCTCCTTGCACCTAATTTTCCCAACTAAAATATCATTCAAGACAGGGCCATTAGAGGAACTATGTTCTCATGATGGTTCCTTGATGTGAAAACAATTTAAACATTTCGGCCCCTTAATACAAAGGAAAATACCAAGATGATTACCTTTGCTTAATAGTCTATTTAAATAAAGGGGGAACATGTCAGAAACAAGCTCAGCATTTTTCATTCAAATTAGCTTTTCTTGATTTACTTGACAAATTGAGATGAACAGACTTAATGTTTGTGACTAAAAGTAGTCATATTGTGCTGATTTGGGGACAGAATATACCACATGTGAAATTAATTTGGACTACCTGATGATTATTATAGTAGATGGTGGTGGTTTATGTACATGTTCTCCATTTCCCACAAAAAGCTTATTCTTTGAAAACTGTTCTTCCTTGTAGTGCTTTGGAGTTTAGAACAAGAATAAATTCATATCAACCTTATTAGGCAAAAGCTTTTTTTCAGCCCCTACAACAAGCTCCATCAGCAAAGCACACTTTGTTTCCAGAAAGAAAATTTAAATTACGAATCAGCACTAACTAAAACATTTAGTTTCCAAAGTAAAAAACACTGGAACCAGCATTTTTTTTTTTTATCTTGGGAAGACTTGGCAGATTGTTTACATAGTCAAAACGATCTCTAACTTATGCTTTCTGGTTCATTTCTCTTTTCTTAGATGTTGTCACTTAAAATAAACCAGTATTAATGTTTCTATGCTTTAAATTGGGGAATTTCAAAACTAAGCAAAACATGTCTTAAGTTCTTTTTTTCTCAGTGTTGAATGTGGCTCAGCCATGCAAACTACTAGAAGGTCTTTATTATTTTGGTATGATTTGCAATGAAATGCTTTATAAAGTAATTTTTCAAAAGGTTCAAGTAAAACACACCACATTCTAGTCAGCAAAACTTTTAGACCGACACTTGTTCAATTGCTTACTGGACTGAATAAACTCCATTTCTCTTTGCTAAAAGTTTTATCTGTAAACTCCTGTGGCATTCATGGTCTAAACTGGATTCAAAGAATTGAAAATTGTCCAAAGGATAGAAAACAGTCCCTGGAATAGAGTATCTTTTTTAAAACTATACCCATTGGTCATGTTAATCAAGGGATCAAACAGTAGAAGAAATTCATAAAGTTGATTGTAATCTTATTACTGTCAGAGTTTATCAGAAACAAGAACAATACCTTCCAATAGCCTCATAAATATTCTACCACCTTCAGCTACTAGAAATACTGGATCGTTTACCATGAAGGTATATCAGAAATATAATCTACTTTGAAATTATTACTAATGATCACATTTCATAAGTCTGGTGGATACACAGCTCTTAACATTTTATTAAGCCATGTGTGTAGCCCTGCCACATTTTTTGTGGTGCTTGTCCTGTGTGGAAGACTAAATCTTGAACCTGTTGCATATTTTCAAGGGCTTTATAAAGCAATGTGACTAACAGTCCTGGCCTGCTGCTTCTGGCTTACATGCATTTTTAGCTAGATGTTTGGAGGACAGGGATTCTGTCTGGTATGCATTCAGAATCTTTCCTCCTCTCATTACCCTGTGAATAAAAACAAATGGGACCTCAGAGAAGGATACCCTCCCCTAAAGTGATCACCTCACCAGCCCAGTGTTGTGGCTTTGTAGCACGCCCTGTATCTACCATATTCTAGAACACTGTAATGCTACTAGGCTGGCCCAGAAAAGGTTTAAATGTTGAATTCACTTACTGCATTTGGTGCACTACCATGCAATCTTGATGTATATTTCTAGTGGCAGTAGACCCCAAAATGTAGCGAAAACTTGGGTCTTGGATATCAGGCCATTTCATCCTCAGACTTGTAGAAGTACATTTCCTGGTCTTGAGACCAGTATTTTTTAGTTATGTATGCAACTGCCTTTATTACACACCTGGTTATCACAATTCAATTCTCAGGTGTTGCAGAAAAATCTACCTCTTTCAGACTGTAGATGGAAATAACTGTGAAAAAATGATGCAGATATCTTCTAGTTTGTGCTAAACACACTGCTTTATTTTTACAGCCCACGTCTTTCATGAGAATATGAATTGTTAAGAGGCAGTCTTGTTTTGCTTTTCAAATACATTTTGTAGAGATTTTTCACTAACGTGAATCTGATTTTATCTACTCGATTCTGTATAGATTAAGTAAATATGTATGATGAATTTAACAGCTTTCGTGTATTCTTTGGTTGCCCATGTGGCCTTAATTGCGTACAAATCCAAAGGAGCAATTTTACCTATTTCTACTGGAGAAAGGAGATATGTATGGGAGCGTGCACACACATCCACCCATTCCCAGCTTCTAAAAGAACAAAACAAACTTTATTTTAAAACTTTATTTCTGCAAAGCCAATCAAGAAGTGTGGGAAGGAAAAAGTGTAAAAGTTATCCTTGCATATTTGGGAACTTCAGCAAGCACTTAAAAGTTTGCGAAAATGAAGACTTAAAACAATTGAATCAAAGGCAATACCCAGCAACATGTATTTTTAAAACAATAATGATGTCCTTTCTTAAGCAACATTCCTTTTTTTTTTCCCCTAAAAGCTACAATATGATACAGTACGCAACAGCTCACTTGAAAGTGCTAGAATCAGAGGGTAAAGAACGCCATAAGCCATCCCACTTACATTTTCTACTATACAATGCCTTTTTTGGCGCTTGATAAATCAAGCATTCATGTAGCAATACATTCAATAGAAACACCTCATACTTTGGGTTTAAGATCCTTGTCCCTCCAGTTCCGATGTCGTGACATCTGACTCTTCATCATTGTAAATATTTTCAGCCTGGAGATAACCAAATAAATTCACAGGTAAAAACAGAATTTATATCTGTGAATATACATTTTAAACTTTACTGTCAATTTGCTTTAGTGTTCAATACCCTTTAAATTATTTGCCAATATGTAAGTTCCCTAGACATTCTTAGTCACCCACACACTATTTAGTCACTGTTCAGAAAAGGCATTTTCTAAAATTTTTTCAAGCATCACTTGGAGCAGTGGTTAACTCAGAAAGTCAGATATTCAGTGTTCCTCATTAGAAAAATCAGCATCTTTTTGAACACCTGTCAGTAAGCTCCCACTGACAGTTCATGACAAATGTGAAGCAGATGTTGTGCATGTTTACTTATATGAATGCGTAGATAAAATGGTATTGAGCTAAACCTTACTATGTTGTTAAAATGGAAAAGGTTACAAAATTTTAACTATTACTACTCTGTATACACATGTGAATGTGTGGCGGTAAGAAGACAACTTTGTGGAGTTGGTTCTCTCCTTTCATTTCTACTTCAGGCAATATTAGGTCATATTGTTTGGGAAGGAAGCACTTTACCCCCTGAGCCATTTTCCAGTTTCAGAAAAAGTTTCTTTAAACTGTTCCCATACTATATCTAAACAATAAAAGATTTCTATTACATTCTATCACCAGTGAAACAGTTTTACACGAGTTATGAAAAAAATATTTCAACTCACCATCTGCCATATCTGCATGATATTATCTTCAGACACTGAGCAAATGACCCAAGGTTCATTGGGGTTCCAGCTGAAGTCTGAAATCTTGGCAGTGTGTCCTCCATGAATAAACTTAATAAAAAACCACAAAAGTCTTGATTTCATATCCTTTCCTATTATAAAACTTCCAAGACTAAAAGTTTCTAGAAGCCTTCTTCAGCTGTCCCACAATTTAGAGGTTGAGTGACATGGCCTCTGTAATCGATTCCCACTCCCAATATTCTAAAAAATTCTGAACTTTCAGAAAAAGGACTAGAATACTACAGCGAAACCTGTATCATCTACTTACACTCACCAAATACTATTGCTAATATGTTCTATTCACACATGTGACCACACATTCAAACAGCTCAAGCAAGTTATTCACATCGTAAATAGCAGGTAGGACATTTCATCCCTAAGTTCTATGGCCTCTGCCTATAATGAAAACATTTTCCTATAACCAAGCATTTCCAACATGTATGATTATGGGCCTGACCAAGGAAATTTCCTGGATGTTCTCTAGCCCTCTTTCACAGTAGCCATTCTTCCTCCTTTCTTAAAAAAAAAAAATACTAAGACTCTTAAGATCCAAACTACAGCAATGAACTTTCCCAAGAAATACCCAAGAAGGGATTTTATTTTCTACAAGAGACTACCTCATAAGAAGGCATAAGTCAGGCGGTGATGGTGCACACCTTTAATCCCAGCACACAGGAGGCAGAGGCAGATAGATCTGAATTTAAGGCCAGCCTGGTCTACAGAGCAAGTTCCAGGACAGTCAGAGCTGTTACACAGAAAAACTATGTCTCGAAAAACAAAACAAAAAAGGTCACTGTGCCCAATATATTTCATATTAGGACTCAGAAAAATTGATTCACCAGAAGAACAAAAAATTTGAAGAGTTCTCTGCTCACTAGGTTATATCAGTAAATAACGATATCAACACTTGAAACTGAGGCCTGGGCTAGAGGCCATCTACCAAAAAAAAGGGAGGGGGACACAAGTTTCCCATAAGTGAATGGTATGGTAAGCAGTTACAAATGAGCAATCTGATGCCACATACTCCCTCCCCTGCCCCCAACAGGCTCTTGCTCTGTAGCCCAGGTTCAAACTTCTGACCTCCCCCCTTAGCTTTTAATTATTGAACCACCTCTCTAACAACTAATTTATTACTCTTAAATAGTGAAAGTACTATTTGACTTCAAGTTTTCTTTGAATACAGCAAAATCATAATAGATTTTAAAAAGTATTTATGTGTATGTCTGAATATATATATATATATGTGAGTGCAGTGCCCATAGAAGCCAGATGTGTCAGATCCCAGATCCCTCTAGATCATCGTGAGTCATCTGATATGTGCACTGGACTGAACTCTGGTCCTTTGTCAAGTACAGTAGGTATTCTTAACTGCCGAGCTATCTCACTTACTAGCCCCCTAGTGGTTTTTCTTAAGGACTATATCATAAAATTATTGCAACTATATATAAAGAGAAAACTGCCTATAGACAAAGAACTTTCTGAAAATACTATAAAACCATGAAGGCTCTGCTTCACAAACAAGACTTCGGATATGTAACCCACCAATAAAATATTTAGATGCCACCATCTGGTTCTGGTAGCAGTTTATTGAGAAATAATTTTACTTGCCCCCTCACCCCTTATCAGGGTAACACACTGTCCACTGTGGCCTCAAAAGTCAAGACTTTCCTTTCCTGCTTGGGCTTCCTGGGTTGTCAACTTATTCTTTAAGCAACAATGATAATGAGTGCCGAAACTACTGGTCTATCTAAAACTCCTATCATCCTTTATTTGCCTGTAGCTGTTGGGCACAAGAGCCAAAGAGACTAAGGGAGCTTTCACAAAGTGAGAGTTAGTAAACACCTGTGTCTTGGGTTTACTCTCAAAAGATTTTCAAATACTATATTCAAGTTAACCGTCACTTAAACATTTCCAAAAAACTTCTGGGGCTGTATTTAACATTTTTGATAAATGTCAGAACCTATTCACAGTAACTTCCTAGACTTTCTCTTTGAAATCACTGACAATATAAAATTTGAAGCTCTGACCCATTTCTGAGATAAACTAATGAGAAATATAGCATGCACCTGATATTTAACCTAATACATACCAGGAGCTCTGGAGGCCCATCTTCTGCATCTTCTGCTGATTGTTCTTCTCCAATTTTACTATTAAGAGAATAAAACATTCATCATCAAGAAGTTTTATCTATCCATCCATTATAAAAGTATTTCTCAGGCTGGAGAGATGGTTCAGTGGTTAAGAGCACTGGCTACTCTTCCAGAGGTCCTGAGTTAAATTCCCAGCAACTGCATGGTGGCTCACAACCATCTGTAATGAGATCTGGCGCCCTCTTCTGGCATGCAGGCATACGTGGAGGCAGAATGTTGTATATATAACAAATACATCTTTAAAAAAAATTTCTCGATGAGAATTACTTAGGACAGTGGTTCTTAACCTCAGGGTTCAGAGGGGTCTCCTAAGAACACCAGAAAACAGATATTTACATTATGATTCTTATATAACAGTAGCAAAACCATAGTTATGAAGTAACAAAAAAATTTTGATTGGGGGGTAGGTTGAGAAAATTGAGAACCACTGACATAGAATTATTTTTCTATTATAGTATTGTGGTTTGTTTATTTCCTGGAAATGAGCTGGAGCAATTCATAATTAAAGTTGCAGAATGGAGAAATGTTGCTCATAAACATTAGCTTAAAATTCCTTCAATATTTTAACTGTGGTATTGATGCATCAGAATTCATACACATACAAAAGTAGACATGAACTCATGTACAGCCTCTATATTCTTTAGGCCTTGTGCATTCTAGCACATCATATCTGTCTAACAATATAACAGCTTTTGGCTATGCAATGTATAAGACAAAGACTGTCATGAATTTGGCGTAGGACAGGCTTGAGCCCAGGGTCCCACACATGGTAGACAAAAAAAAAATCTTTTTGAGTTAGCCCCTCAAATTAAATTTTTTTGTTGGTTTGAGACAGGGTCAGATTATGTAGTTCCAAGATGGCTTTGAACTTGTGGCTGTCTACTGCAGCCTCTGGCCTGAGCCTAGTAGTAGTGCAAGCCTATGATCATACCACTTCGATAAAGAAGGCAGGAGTATTAGGAGTTTGAGACCAGTCTGAGCTACACAAGGCCCTGACACACACAAACACAGTAGTTCTGCTTATATGCTATGTGATTCCAATGAGATATAGTCAATATTTTAATGTCTGTGGTGTTAGAGGCTGAACCCATTGCCTTTTACATGCTAGCTCTCTCATTGAACTACATCATTCCTAGTCATGTGTAGCAAAAAGGTGTTTTAATTACCAAAACACACATAACAAAGTTTCAAACTTGAGCAGCAACAAAATTCAGGGCTGCAGGTGGCTCAGTAGCTAAGAGCACTTATTGATCTGGGCAGTTGTGGCACACGCCTTTAATCCCAGCACTAGGGAGGCAAAGGCAGGCAGATCTAAGTTGGAGGCCAGCCTAGTCTCAGAAAACCAAATAATAATAGTAATAAATTCAAAAAATAAAAAAACACTTGCTGCTCATGTAGAACATGAGTTTACTTCCAAGGATCTATATAGTGATGGTTTACAACTATCCATAATTCTTGTTACAGGGGAACTGATGCTGTTTTC